AGCTCCGACTTGGATTCGATTCCGGGCAAAAGAGCTGACTGTGTGGGTGGACGCAGAGTGGTTTTTCCCATATGTAAAGTGTATTTGAGTCAGTTCTCCTTATAAATTCAGACCCACCAGCGGACGAGCGGTGAAGTTGTAGAACACTCGTAGTTTGATCGAGTGTTCGAATACCTAAGAAAGGACTGGCTGCATGGGTATTTTCGTGGTTTCCCTCATGTGTAGCGCATATATGAGCCAGTTTTACTTAGGAAATCCTGCTTGAAAGCATCCCTTCTCTTAGGCAGATAGCCCTCGAGTGCTTTACCATAATCAAATAAACTAAACCAAGCCCTTAGAAATTTCTGCACGAAGGCATCTCTTCCCTTAGGCAGATAGCCCTAGTGCATTTTGTAATAATCAACTAAAAAATGCCTTTTATTTTACACTTTAAAGCGGCATCGATCGTTATTCTATAAAATAACTAGTTAAAGTGTGGAACAGAATTTATTATACTTTTTAACTGATTTTACCAATTATTTCAAGAAATAACTTGGTATTCTAACTAAGATTTCATACTTTAAATATGTATTAATGTTTCTTTTATGACAGAAAATATGTAAAGTGTAAAGTGTTAGTAATGTAAAGTGTAAATGTTTCTTTCGTGACATAAAATATATTTTCTGAAATGTTAGGAATATCGAAAGATAAATATGTATAAGATGAAAATTTGTAACATGAATTGATTAATTAATATTTTTGTTTATTAATTAATAATTAATTAATATTTTTGTTTGTTTAATTAATATTAATATTTTTGTTTGCTTAATTAATATTTTTGTTTGTTTGTCTCAAATAAACTTCAATAAATGTACTTCAAAGTTACCGTGCCTACTTCTTCAGATTACTTGCGGAATTAGTGATACACATTTCAGTAATTTGATTGCACGTTAAGTACTAATGACTTGCGAGATAATTTTTTGACTCCATTAAGCCATGCATTCTAAATTATTTCCGACTGAAGTAAACCAGTAACAGTGATTTAGGAATTGTTGAACTAAAAGCACGCTGTAATTGAATACTTACTTTCTTATTGATACTTATTTTTATATTGCCTTCCACAAATATGTATTCCATTAAACTGTGTATTCAGAACAAAGGTCATATTTAGTTAAGAATAGAACGATATCAGACAGAAAGGAATAAATTTTTCGGAAAAAAATCTTATTTTGTGGTGTTTGAACAAATGTACTTAAAGGACGCAAAAATGTTCTTCGTGATTGATTTATGGCTTACGAAAACACTGTTTAATGGAAGGAAAACGATTTAGTGTTCAGAGGGACACAAATTCGATATGAAACATCAATATTGCTTTTTGAAATTAAATTTTTGTTTCTGCTGTAGATACGCATTTTAGTCCTTGGTGATTGGTATATAAGGAGTAACAGTAAGAACAGCGGCAACTGTTTGGCTTCCTTCGAGTCAAGTGCAAAACTACTTCGAAAGAAAGAAGGTGGTAAAACTTTGCTTTCATGATGATCTCGAATTACATTGTATCCGCAGTCATGTTTGCTGCATATGTGACCTATGTAGCAGCTGCTAGACGTAAGTTACAGAAATTTCTTATGCTCGAATTTTCAATATGTATTTCAAAATATGTGACATTTTTGCTTATATAATTTGTACTTACCTTAAATCTGTGAAGCTATATGTTTAAATTCAGCATTTATGGTCATGGCCAGAGCTTTTACCGCCAGGGACATTGCTTTCCGCCTCTCTTTCCATGCACACCAAAATATTTATAAAGTTTCAAAACAATGTGTAGAGAAATAAGTAAAAATTAAGTTTATTTTCCAAATAAACTTTACTTCCATTATTCTAAAATCTACTATATTTTATTTGTTTTTCTTTTAGCAAAATTGACAGCTATATTCTAGAAGTTTGTTTAGTTACTCCAGTTGTCCTTCGGTAAATAATACAGAAAATTTCTGAAACATTAAGTAGGGAAGTTAGGGCTTAGTTGTAAATTGGTGAGTAGTAACACCCATGTTACTTTTGGAATATTCACTAAACATGTTTCTAATGACTCTATTACGTAAGCTGAGTAAGTGCTCCTTCGAAACGGTTAATGAGAGTTTGTGTGCACGTGCTCCGCTTTAGGTAGTTAAAAAGTATTTCACAAATTTTGTTTTAAGGTAGGTTATTTGATCTTTTTAAAAAATAGTTTTAGGCACTTATTTTGTTTATATATTAAGTTTTAGAATACTGCTTTAATGTTTTTCTAATAGAAGTTTTTTTTAAATAAATTAACGAAAATATTCGAATCTAAAGGAAAAGGTTAAAAATAGTCTGAAAAGAAAAATAAAAGATAAAATGGGGGGGAAAGGGATTTTAAGCAAGAGCATATAGATTCTGAAACGTGAAAGAGGCTTCTCTTAATTGTGGAGATGTTTACAGCAGCTTTGATGAAGCAGAATGGGCGCAATACTCAACTGCCAAACTGTGGGCATACGTTAATTGTATACAACGAAACACCTTATCATTTGTTTGATTTAACAGAAGCTCTGCTTAGATAATTCTACCTTTGTTTTACTATAAACCACTTGATATCATTCAACAATAATGCAAAAGAATAATAATCACCAATATTTTTAATTATTGTCGGTTCCTATTTTTAATATTTTCACCAAGTCCGAGAAAAATGTTAACAAATGAATAGTTTCGAAAACATCTGTGTGCTAAACAAAATTCGAGAATTTCGTTTTGATCTGGGCATATGACGAGGGAATGGTTACGCTATAGAAACAGTAGTTATATTCGAGAAATCATTAGTATTTTTTAAAATGTAAACACTTTTCCAAAAATTGTTACAATTATCCCCTTGCTGTACTATTTATTTTTAGATCTAAGGTGTATCCTTATAAATTTGTATTTAGATAAAGTACTCTCACAACAAGTAACACAACAACTGTAGAGAAAAATCGCAGTAATATTACAATCTTCGAAAATGCTTTCTGGCTAGCGAATGTTACTTCAAAATACCCAAGCGACCATCCTTGCACCGCTCGCTTTGTCCTTCCCAGCAGCCTCAGGAATCCAAACTGGGAAGTAATTCTCTGTCACTGAAGAAGTTTTCCTTATTTATATCTTAGAGAAATTCTCCTTTATTTTATGACACTGAGAAATTCTTCCTTATTTATTTCTTTGAGAATTTCTTCCTTATTGATGTCGCCGGGGAATTCTTCCTTATTTATGTCATCGTTAGTTATAATTCAAATCCATTCGTATTTTTCATTCAAATATTTGAATCTAATAAAGAAGGCATAGAAAGAAAATGGAGTTGTTGAAATCTCGTTGTGATTTCCCTGAATACTCTGTCCAGTACAGAAACAATTTTTCCTCAGTTCAGTTTTGAATCACGATTCAGAATCTGGCCGTTCTTCAGCTGAGAATTGTCTGAATGGGTAGGATGGCAAAATACAAGGGAAAAAATGTTCGCATTTTATGGAAAAGATTTTGATAATATTCTCTTTTTGCTTAAAAGGCGCTTTCTTGTAGTTATTTGCTTTAGTCTGATACCCTTGATTTCTAGACATAGCTAAACGGTCATGTCTATTTTATGCCACTGGTCTTGGGCCATTTTCCAAAAGTCCGTTCAGCGTTCTTGGATGCCGTTTTCCTAAGTCTCGTTTCAAAAAATCGAAAGCTCAAAAGTCTGTAAGAGAAGTATCTGATTTTATAGGCATTTCATTAAATGGGATACGTTTTATTTCTTATTTCTCTTTCTGATTTTTTTTTTTTTTTTTTTTTTTTGATAAAATCGGCATTAGACTTCGGCGTGTGACTAGAGATTTTGTTCATATGCTCTCAAATTTACGGATGTCATTTTCCTATAAGACTGGAATTTCTTCTTCAAAAACTCGTTCTAAAATATTCTGTTCATAGTACAATGAATTAATCTTAACCTTAGTTGAGACTTTTTCAGTTTTAATTTACCGCTGACACAAAATCCTGAAATTTTCATGAATATTTTTGGGAACTTCTCTATATATTGACGAGGCCATTTCGTTCGGTTATTTACGTCAGCTGAAGGATAAAAAATTTATATTTTTTTCTACAGTTACTTAAACATACTCAAGCCTCATCGAGTGTTGTCACAAATTTCGATTTATCGGCAGGTAGGTGTTCTGTATATATAATTTTAAACATTTGTTTTTCTTTCCATAATATACTTTGGCATAAGCAAATGAACTTAAAGTTTAAAACATACTTTAGACTTCAACATTTAAAGAATGATTCCTATAGAGTGCCAGAAGGCATTCGCAGTTCTAATGCAATGTATCTTTAAGTCCAAGCATTTTCTTTCAGGATCCGAGACTAACGAATCTTGATATTTATCCGAGTTCAAACAGTCTTAGAATACATTTCTACAGCTTTTTTGTTTTCATTTTTGACTTTCAGATAGAAACCTTTTCCTTTAATATTAAAAATACTTTTCTTTGAAATGCAATAAAGAGTCTTTAATTTTACTCGACTTTTCAATTTGCTAATAGGAATATTTTCCTTCGAAAAGTGCATCTATGTAACCTCCCAGCTATCAATTTTAGAAGTTATTTCTAAAGTATATCTCTTATTCTGCACTGCATTAAAAAAAACTATAGCAGTCGAATATATTTAAAATGCCAGGATCTTTATCTCAAAAGGGTAAAGGAAACATTTCAGTACCGTCTGTAGTGGTAGTTCGACCTGGAGTCAAATCCATGGAGATAGAAATGTATGGATTAGACATCGTGCCCAAAACCTGCGGCCGAAATGTGTTTCAATAATAATAATGATGCATCCTAGCATTTCGCACTAACGGAGATACCAACCTTTGTTCATTAATCGTGCAAAAGAACAATGGAGAGTCAGTTTTTGTATTAAATGATATTTCAAAGAAAAGGATAAGGCATTTCGAAAGCGCACAGCTTTTAAAGATACAAAAATTGCTACCTACTAATAGTAAGCACCTGATCTTCAGCTCTATTAAAACACTCTTTTTTGGAAGAAATGTCTTTAATTCGTTATCTTGAAATACGCTACATCACGATCTGACTGAAAACCATCTTGTACGCCTTATTTGAGGAATAAATATATATTATATAACCATCCTAAGTATAACACTGGCATAAAGAACAGTCGGAAAAATTACATCCCCTCAATATATATATATATATATAAGATGTATCAGCTTTAGTCGTAGCTTAAATAAACAGACGATAAGTTTAAAACAGGGTCCATTTATTATTATTCAGGAGAAATAGCAGTTACAAAATTCATATCTCCGGAGTAAATAAAAAAAGAATTACTAATAACTTTTGTATGAAGTTTACTGCATTGTTAGAAAATGCCCCGATATTCCTTTTGCGAGTTCCTTTATAGCCTCTGGAAAGGCGGAGCTTCCAAGAAATGACGTCAGCCTCGTCAGTCATTCCAGTTCGCTTAAAATACTTCCAGAACATTCTATAACTATACGTGTAAAAAAGGCGGGAAAAACAACTTGACTACGGGGCTGTTGATTTTATTCCACGTTCTTTCAAATAAGAGACCGTCGCCATTAAAAATGAAAAGAACATACAGTTAGAATTTTAAGTGTATTCTTGATTATGGAATTTTATTATTACAAATATAATATTAATAAAATTTTTTCTGATAAAGGTGATTAAAGGTGAATAATTTTTGCAGTTATTAGTCAAGTATAATCAATTTTTTTAACACTGAAGAAAGAATGTTAGTACTAAATATACTCTTGTTCTATGATAAAGAATGCTTTGATTTTGTTAAAATTTTATTGATGTTTTTACCAGATTTTAATTATATTGGTTAGAGTCTTATTTAATTAATTAATTTGATTTATTTCATGATGTTCTTGAAGATATAAGGAAGACGAATATGGCGAACGTTTCATATCATCCAATAATGAAAATGTTTAATTTCAAGAGGTAGATTTTATTTTAGAAGGAAGGTCTTTTAAATAAAGAGCATTTAGATATATTTAGAAAAGTAGTTTTTGCAAACTCGTCTTTTTCTTTTCAAATCCATCATTTTTATATCCGGCGCATAACGCCTCTCGTAAATTTCGATATTATTTTTTGTATTAAAAGTGCGAGTTATACTCCGGAATATAAAGTATATCAGAAAGAAAATAATGAAAGAAGTTGTTTGCATAATATTAAATCCATAGTGAATAATTTCCATAGTGAATTGTTTGTATAATATTAAATACATAATCTTGCCTTTAAAGTTCTAGTATATAGATTTAAAATTTCAGCATATTGATTGATAAGCCGATTTAGTACTTTTTTAGCGTATTTCAAAATTCTTATCAAATGTTTTATAATACACATGAGGTAAGTATTTAAATCCAGAGGGACAGTGCAACTTAAACTGTGTTCATAGAGTCAATGTTTTTGAATTTCTCATGAAATTATATTTCTGTTATAAATCCACATTCCATGAATAATTTACATTTTCTTCATTAAGTACAGTGAATAATTTTGGAAATTTTATTATTTCATTTAGAAGTTATTCTATAATTTTCTTCAATTTTTGTTTCTTATTATTTACTGAATGAAATTCTGAATTACTTTACTGAGTTATGGGGAAAAAGTAGTATTAGGAAGTGAACTGACAATTGGGTATTTAAGAAGTTGGCAAGGAAAATAGTTTTACTCTATATAAAGTATTCAAAGAAATCACAACGAGATTTCAATAGTACTCTCGATTTAATTGTTTTCATTTCGTTGAGACATTTGAATGAAAATTACCAGTTCAACTAAATTATTGCAGTTGTGACTTACAGTGGATGGACAAAAATATGGAAACACCTTGTGAAATGCATGCTTGAAAAGAAAGATTAATTTTAATGAAATATGTAGGTGGCGCTGGCGTTTTTGACTACTGACGCCACCTATATAACTTCGTAAATGTGCTAAACAGTTCAGTTGTTGTAGGAGTACTGTTATGTGAGGTTGTCATTGCATTATGTCAGAGTTAACAGACTTCGAACGTGGGCAAATTGTTGGAGCACGTATGGTAGGTGCTTCCGTAAGCAAGGTAGCCGAGTGTTTAGTGTTTCAAGAGGTACTGTATCGAAGATTTATTCCGCATATTTGAAAAGCGGAAAAACATCATCTGCTAAATCACAGCGCGGACGTGAGTGATCGTGACAGACGATCATTAAGGGCAATTGTGACGAAAAATAAGAAGACCACAGCTGCAAAAGTTACTGCTGAAATGAATGTTGTGTTACCGAACCCTGTGAGTACCAAAACGATTAGAAGGGAGCTTCATAAACAGGGAATTGCTGGCCGTGCTGCAATTGAGAAGCCACTCATCAGTGATGCTAATGCCCGTAACAGGGAAAGGTGGTGTTTAAGTCATAAAGCCTGGACTATAGAGCAGTGGAAGCGAGTAATATGGTCTGACGAGTCTTCTTTCACATTGTTCCCACTTCTGGCCGAGTTTACGTCAGAAAACGCCATCTCAAGCCTATAATACAAACTGCTTGTTGCCAAGAGTGAAACATGGCGGCGGTTCTGTTATGGTTTGGGCAGCCATATCGTGGTTCTGTACTATCCCCATGATAACTGTGTCAGGGCACATGACTGCCAAGACTTATGTGAACATTTGGGCCGATCAAGTTCATCCCATGGTACAAACTTTGTTCCCCGATGGTGATGGTGTCTTCCAAGACGACGAAGCCCCTGTTCACACAGCTCACATTGTCCAGGACTGGTTTCCTGAGCACGAGGATGAGTTGTCCCATCTCCCCTGACCACCACAGTCACCAGACCTGAATATTATCGAACCTTTGTGGTCTACATTGGAACGGAAAGTGCGTTCTCGTTATCCACCGCCAACATCGTTATCTGAACTTGCCACCGTTTTGCAGGAAGAATGGTATAAATATTCCCTTGGCAAACATACAGGAACTGTATTTATCCATTCCGAGAAAACTGCAAGCTGTTTTGGATGCCAGCGGGTTTCCTACACCATATTAAGCAAAGAAACATGTTTTTTTAAAGGTGTTTCCATATTTTTGTCCAACCCCTGTATCTGTCTTGTCTGAAACCAGAATAAGCCCACGAAATTCATCGTGGAAAGGACTGCAAGACTGCGTCTGTCGTTGGCAAGAGCCTTGGGCGCCATACAGGTTACAGTGCGACTTTGCTCAGTTTCTCCGAAATTTTAAAGGTGAGGACCCGGAGAGACAGGTCCGAAAATCTCTTCCTTCCTTCCCTAAAACCAACCTCTCGAGAGGACTTTCGGCTTGCCGCATAGTTTGAATTTCACCACGCCGCAGAGACATTTATACATTTATAACATCCATGCCTTCTCCAAGATTAGAGTCCGGGCAGTTTCAGCTAAATTATCATTGCAGTGACATTAACAACGAACGATTCCTCATTAAGAAACAAGAATTTCAGGGATTTATGCTTTTGAAACTTTGTACTTTATTCTAAAATGCAGTGCTAGAATAATGTTCTAAATATTATAAAGCTATCATGAACTTTCCTCAGAATAACAGTCAGTTTTGCTAGTTGTGACAAATGTTTCGCAAATAAAAACCTTTTAAAAAGTACTTAATACAAATATTATTTGGTATTTAAAAAAATTATCTACATTAGTTATATGATAGTTACTGGACCAATCAAGTAGGCACCTGCAATATTATCGATAATTTTGCGAACAAAAAAAGCAAGCAAATTACTATTGTAATTTTAAAATGCTGGAATTAAAGTTTTTCGTCAAAAATTAACATAGCGTTTTAATTTATTTCTTTACATGTGATTTTGATGTATTTTTAGTTACTTGTTTGTAAACAAATTATTTGCTTGTAAAAAAGGCAGCAAATTCCAAGCATGCCTCAGGTGGTAAACACAGGGCTGCCTCGAGCGGCTAGCTGTACTAGCACCACTGGAAGTCAGTTTATTAAAGCAGCAATAATTTTAAGATATTTACTCTACATTTTCAAATGAAAGCAAATAAAAATAGCTAAATTCAGTTATCATTTTTTGCATTTATTAATTAATGTGTCAGTTTCAACTCCTGGATATATTTTCTACATCTATGAATTAATGAAATCATTATTTCTTTTCAGTTCCTGGTATTCCTGGTCGCTAAATATCAGATAACGGAGGTATGATTTATTTTATCATTGTTTTGAATTTTTTTACATGTTTATAATAAATGAATATTGAACTCGTGAACCCGTATTTTCATCACAGTAAACATTATTTTCTTTACCAGTTTTCGATATATATTACAACCTGGAAATCTATTTCAAATGAGTAGCAAATCAGAACTATCTCCCCTGCTGCCATTCAGGGCTATTTCATCTGTTGGTTATATACCCAGCAGAAAATACCACCAAAAAAAAAATTGTTCATTTTCATGAAATACATTCTTGCTTTCTTCTTTTATTACTTCTCGTCAAATTATACTCATAGGTACGGGAATTAAAGTAGTGGCTACACTTACATACGAGGAAAACCATGAAAACGCCCATGCAGCGAGCCCGTTCGTGAGATTCGAACCTCGGACCGAATCACCAGCGTACAGCGAATTTACCGCTCGCCCGCTGGTAGGCGTATATTCAGTGAGCAAGCACGAGTTAGGGTTTCCGCAATATGTTTTACGTCTCTCTGTTCATGTTTTTGTATGTGTGTGACGATGTTTTTGTTTACGGCAACGCTTATACCAAACTTCAAAAAATTTCTCTTTTTAAGCTTTCCGCATTCATATAAACACTTAATTCATATAAACAGAATTCGATTTTCGGTAGAATTGGACAACCAAAAGTGTTACTTGATGTACCTAACAGTTTTTCAGCAATTGCTGTATGCAAGCAATCAACTATGAAAACATGTAGACCCCTCTAAAATACCAGGAGAGAAATTTGCACCAACTGATGGATGGTTCGCAAAATGGAATGACAGAAATAATATCGTTCATCGGAAACTTCATGGTGAAAAGCAAGAGACAAATCATCATGCGGCTAATAGATGGACAAAAAACATTTTATCTGATCCTTACTAAAGGAGTACATGCCACATGTAATTTATTAAAGAGACGAAGTTGGACTGCATTGGAGATCCGGATCGCTGTGTTTGCGGGGGTGAGGGGTCACCGGATCATTACATCTTTCAGTGCCCACTCACGGAACAGTTCCACTTCCCGATACCAGCCAATATCTCAGCATTTCACAAGTTCCTAGCCAAAAACAGAGCGGCCATAAATAAAATCTGCAAAATAATAACCACCATTGCAGCATATGGCCAAGACCTCTGTCAACCAGAGTAATAGGGCTTACATGCATTACTTGCGCGCTGACATATGCACTTTAATGCTCTACCATCTAATCTCTGACTGCATAGGGAGCAGAAGAAAATTGAACAGCATTTTTAGGTGTTTAATTTTCTTCTTTTGTTATAACCTATTAAGTTTTTTTTTTTTTTTTTTTTTTTTTTTTTTTACCGTGCCTGTATGTTAATTCAAATGTACTTCAAATGCCAGATGTTAAACAGTTGCCCCTGTATGGCCATGTATCCACACTTATAACTGTTAAATAAACTCCAGGGGAGGACGCGGGACATATGCCTGTTAACCTCTGTTAAACTTCAGGCGTCCCCGTCCTCCGTCACCTGTCACCTGTCACCTGCATTGGAGATCAAAACCAGAATACACACTAAGGTGAAACAGCAAAAGGTGAAACACAAACAAAGGTGAAACAGCTGCTGGTTTTCCGTAACTGAAAGATTTACTGTTTCAATAGTGTGCAATATGAAGGCAACAATTAAGAAGATATTCGTTATTATCAAAAGAAGAAAACATCGATGTTTAAAAGGAGTCATGATCTTACCTCTAACTTACCACGACAATAAGAATTACTTGATTTTTACTTATTTTCATTTCAAATGGTACAGCGAACTGAAAACAAAAAGTTTTACTGCTAGATAATTGTCTGCACACTTCTCTGATCTCCTTCTGAAGAGAACTAAATAAGTATTTCTACCTGAAAATACAACTTCTATCATCCACCCTTTAAATCAGACTATTTTAAAAGCTTCTAAATATCAGTAACGAAAAGATGGCGTTCAGAAAACGATAAACAAATCGTCCTCTTGTGAAAATGAAGTACTTCGAAGTATTAAACTAAGAAGATGACTTAGACCATGCATGTTATACTCAAACTAGGGTGGACAGTGCGTCAACATACGCTCAAAAATAGTTTTAAATACGTGATTTTTATTTAGGAAAAGGTTTAGAGACATTAAATGCTATACCCAATGCTTCGGACGTCACTGAGGGAAGTTAGGAAGATTTAGTTTTCTTATGTGCTGCATCTTAGCACAATACTGAGAAAAAGTATGAGCAAAACTGACCATCGTATTATAGAAAGCGTTGAAATGGCTACAGAAAATGAAAATGGTAGTTAAAGTGATACGAAAGAAAGTTACGACGATCTATCCTCTATTGAATTTTAAAACAAGATTGCAAATTCTAAGGCGAACTCTTGAATTTTAAGGTGGCGAACAGAAAAGCTGCCGTCAGTTTTACTAACTTCGAAAAATTGTTGTTAACAACAACAGAAATCGTTGATAAACAACACAAAACGACTACGGATACATCATTAGTTCCGTAGCAAAATTTAAAATTTCGTTTGGTACGTGATTATAAACATATTGCTGTAGAAAATTTAATAAGCAGATTTCAAAATTGTATAAAAATTTTTATTTTAACGTTAATTTCTAATTGTTTAGATATCAATTATTAGATTGATCATTAGTTTTTATCATTCTAGATAAGTATAAAACTTTGCGATAACAAACTCCAGTCTATTAAATTCAGCTACTTAATAAATTCAATGTGTTTGGAATGGGACGGATTTTAATATTGGTGGGTACTCTGCTATGAATATCAAGCATTTATGTAAAGCATCATATTTAACGTATACCTAATTCTTACAAAATCAGCTTAATGAAATAATTCTGCTTAAGAATAAAACCCATTTATTGAACATTAGCATATTGTAAATTCAAATAAATGAAAGCAGTGAATTTTATCATCACAAAAAGCAATCTTAGATAAATCTATGAAAGTAATAATGCTAACATTATTTTGGATGAGTCTGTGGGTATCGTTTTCTAAATATACCATGTCTTACGTACCTCTTACAAAAATTAATAATTCAGTTCCAAATTTTATTTTATTTCTAGGTTAAGACTCCATAAAATGATCCTCCAAATTAGCAGCATTAAGGCAGACGACTTTACCGAAGACCTGGCTTTAATATTAATGAAACATATTCCAAGTACTCCACTCGAAATGTTTTCATATTTCACCTGCATGTATAATGCTTCCTTTGTCAAAAATATGCCTTTTATAATGTGATATTTTCAAATAATTTCAGACTGGTAATGAAACAATAAAAAAATGTTTTGCTGCTATGTGCTTATTTGCTTTCTGTACATTCAAGAAAATTTCAGATATGTATACCAAGGCAAATATACATTTGCTGATTTAAATACCTGGTCTAAAGCAGTGAAAATGTTTCAAAATTCACCTTGTATTCACTCTCACACTACAAGACATTATTAATTATTAATATTTTGCAAGCTATTTAATTCACTCTTTTGTTTTGGTACCCGCATGTGTATATGTTGTACTACTCCCACTTTTACTCTAAAACAGGGATTCCCAGCCTTTTGTCCCTGACAGGACATTTTAGAATGTCGGTTGCGGGCACCATTTACTTTTTCAAAGTGGATTTATAGTGGGATAGAGTTAGTAATATATGCACATAAAAAAAGAGTTAAGTCGCATTTACCTTTGTGCTGGTATCTATGCTGGACGCAATTTCTATTTAATTAAAAATGAGAAAACTTTCACATAGAATTTTCTTGAAAACTAAAACATTTTTATTGTGATCACATAGCGGCAAGCACACGTTAAACGATCGGCGGGAGCCATGGTGCACGCGGGAATACGGTTGGGAACCCCTGTGTTAAAACATTATCCATTAAGTAAAAGTAAATGATTCGCCGCAAATTGAAGGATATATTTTATTAATTTTCAAGAGAATTTATCTACGGTTGTGAGATCTCTTACGTTTCGCTATCATAAAATGGTAACAAGTTTTATTTAAGTAAGACACAATAGCACGCTGAACAAATACTAATTCAGAAGTCAAAACCACAAAAATCAGCGTAATATTTTCAAAATTTTCACAGGACTAGTTTCGATGGTTTTACCGAACCACCATCCTCAGCTGCACAACCGCAAATGAACGAAATAGAATATAATGATTAGATAAGATAAGAAAACCATCCCTTGATGAAGAACTAAATTATTTAAAAGCAATAACTATTGACAGAGGCTTTTCACCCAACATTATTAATCAAGCAGTTAAAAAATTCTCATCTCAACACACTAAAAGGCACACTCTTGTTTTAGGACATTATAAAAATTCTGTTGTCATTCCCTTCTTTCCATCAATTAGCTATAAAGTTGCACATATTTTGCAGAAATTTAACTTTCAGGTTGTTTATTCTCCCATCAATAAAATTCCGAGTTCCATACTTAAGGACCCCATTCCGGATATGAATTCCTGGGGTATTTATAGTATTCCTTGCCAGTGTGGTTTAATTTACATTGGCCAAACTAAGAGAGCATTAAAGTTTCGCGTCAAGGAACATGAGGCATATAATAGAAAAAAGGAAATACAGAAGTCTTCTGTTGCGCAACATTGTTGGTCCGAAAATCACACTTTCAATTTTTCTGCTGCCAAAATTATTCAAAAAACATCTTTCATTGGAGAACTGGATTTTCTAGAGGCATTTCACATTCAAAAAAATATTTCTGTTCTAGTTAACGATCCTAATTCCAATCCATCGTTGACTTCGCCCTTTAAAGATATTATGGTTTAGTTCTGGTTTCCTCAACAGATGGCGCCACTTGCTTATTCTTGTCCAGGCTTTCTTATCTTATCTAATCATTATACCCTATTTTGTTCATTTGCGATTTTGCAGCTGAGGATGGGGGTTCTGTAAAACCATCGAAACTAGTCCTGCGAAAATTTTGAAAATATAACGCTGATTTTTGTTGTTTGACTTCTGAATTTTTATTTAAGTGTTAAACATTGCGAATTCTTGCACAGGCGTGAAGATGAGAACAACCAGGAAAGGGGTGTAAAAGATTATTTTATTTATCACAAGCTGTTTAATAGAAGACACGGACTTACTGAGTACAAAAATAGCACCAACTACTTGCGGCGACAACATGCTACTTTACTTTTCTTTTTCATGTGTTTGTGTTGAGTATACTTGTCACACTCTAGTCAATGAATTGTATGTTCAAGTGCTACTACTAAAAATATTTTTTTAATTAAAAAATAAATAAAAAATCTTGCAGTCACTTAAAAATTAATTTAACAATAAAAGGTAAAGATTTATTTTAAAAGGTAAAGATTTATTGCTAGACTACACAATTAATTTAATCTAACATTCTAACTCAGAAACCTGCACTGGTGGGATACTGGCAAGAAAGCGTAGCCGCTCCTAAATTTTCAACTGTTAAAAAAAAAAAAAAAAGCACACTTGGGCGTTCATTAGAGAAATCACGCTCTAGCTACCCTTTTCGTCCCAGCTTTCTAAATACTCTCATTCACCTACTTAATTTCCCTCCTGGAGAGAAAATGCGAGGGAAATAAGAGATTTCAGGAAAGGATCAGAATTTAAATTCTCTAAGAATAAAACTAAATAGGATACTACACGGTTTGAAATGCGCTTTTGATCTAGTATCTCATATCCAGGAAATCTGATCTTAAATACCTTTGTTATTAACGGGCAAAATATAAGAAATAAAATTATTTTGCATATAATGTAGATACTCAAGATTCAATATATGTAATATATTTCTTTGAAACAGGGTTTCTGGACAACAGGTCGCGGAAACAAATGAAATAATGCAGGAATGTCAAACTCAGTACATTAACTAGGCCAAATAGTCATCCGCAGGTTCTGGATTTTGATGATTTAAAAGCCTACTGAAAATGCCTTTTAAGTGGTCGTAAAACGTCCTTAAAAATAATAAAAAAGAACAAAAATGAAAAAGGACGCACAAACATTGACAAATGGATTAAAATCCAAAGAGTTACACATACCCTCCATTTGAATTTTATTTTTTCTTCTAAATTTTCAACCTTATATAAATGTATTACAATTACGCTTATGTGTTTCTTGATTTTTCGAAAGATAAAGATTTTCTATTGTTAGGTTATAAGATTTTGTATCGTAAGAAGTTTCTCTATATCTATTGCAGCAGTTGGAATATCATTTGAAAACAATTGCATCACTTATCATTAACGCTTCTGCACTCTCAAAATATTCTACTTGTCCTGTCATAAATGAGGAATATTTTCTGCATAGTTTGGAAGCTATAGTTTTTAGTCAAAATAGTGCTGAATTTAACAAATACAATATTTGAAACTTTATGCTTTTTTTAATGTCACTCAATTTATCATTCTAATTTATTGCATCAACAAGTTACATAATTTGTTCTTGTAAAGATTTACTAGTTGAAATTAGTCTAAAAATTAAATCTGATATAAGCAAGATTACATTTAATTTTGTCCGTGGAGATCATATTCGCTGAATTTTGAATTGTAGAAGTAGCATCCGTATCAAAAAAATCATCACTACTCACTTCACAGTTTAGGTTTGTTGTTGTAAGGATTCAATAGCTGAAATTAAGATCCTGAAATTAGATCTTAAATACGCAAAATTTCTTTCAATTTTTTCTGTGTAGAAAACATTATATGCAATTTGAATCCTGACAAAACTAGTTAAGGAGTTTGGGATTCAAAACACTGAGTACGATATGGTGTTCTTAAATACATTTTCCTTACGTAAGGTACTAACTTGTCAATATCGGTGTAATTTGTACGAATTTCTTCAGCGAGACTATGCAGCGTGTGAAGAGGACTCACATGCACTAGCTCGGTATAAAATACCTTTATTTATTTTCGTAGATGAACATGTATGATGCAGCATCGCTTAAAAAGAGTAACATGTCATTGTGGCTAAATATTTTACTCTATTTGGCTACAGCGATTTTTCAAACAACTGGCCAATCTTGGAGTGATTCACATTTCAAGTTCGTGAACATTACGTTGTAGAGCCATTAGGTTAATTGGAAGCAGAAAAGATGAAAAATATGCAACCGCCTTCGCCGGGAATCGAACCACGGACCTCTGGAATACCGGCCCAGCGTGCTACCGTTACACCACGAATGCACGCTAGGAAAGTGGGGCAAATACCTTATATACTCCTCTTCTTAAAGGGCTACACTAGGGTTTTAGGGAACCTAGTCGCCAAATCCTGGGTGCGGAGAATCATCATCCACAACCCTTTTAGTTCGGGTGCCACTTGTAGAGTCATTAGGTTAATTGGAAGCAGAAAAGATGAAAAATATGCAACCGCCTTCGCCGGGAATCGAACTACGGACCTCTGGAATAATGCAAGATACCGGCCCAGGGTGCTACCGTTACACCACGAAGGCACGCTAGGGAAGTGGGAGAAATACCTTATAAAGTAAAAATATCTTCTCAGGTAAATCTGGATTCAGGGTACAAATTATTATATTGCACATATGATCGTCCATCAGCATCATCTATTTTATCAAATTAAATAAATATTTTTTCTCCTTTCGCAAGTTTTCTACATAAAACATAACTAATGGAAATAATAGCAATAAACATTTTATCAAAAATTCTGGTTCAGCCTATTTCTCACATTCAGGTAAATAACTAACATTTCGTAGTATACATGTACACACACACATATGCAAATACAAGCAAATACAAAATAAAAATCAGCTCAAAATCTAATCAGTTGTGGCATATTGAGGCAATTCCTTATAATTGCAGTATCGGGAATTGCTGATAGCATCAACGAAACGAGTAGTGGTAATAATTCAAAAAGGAATGAAAAATAACAAATAAAGATGGAGGAGTATTATTTTTATTCTCAAATATTTGATCAAAAATTAATCATCAAATCTGATGATTAATAAGAAATTTCATTTATTTAATTTATTTTTACATTTGTTGGATTGCTGCTGTCGTATAGCTTTTGGACGCGGTTCGCTAAAATTGTCAATTTTTATTTTTTAAGCTTTACTGCTTGTTTAGTTAGTTTATTGACGGAGGACGTGGGAACCCCCCTTTAATGATTAATTGGTTAACCCGGCCTGTATGTTTTCAAAATTTACATATAACTTTTTTTTTCAAATGTTGGATTAAAAAAGTTGCATATGGTGCATATTTTTGAGTTCAAGTTCCGAATTATTTAGTCAAAGTTTCGGTTTACACTTCGAATTAGTTACGTCACCATCGTTATGAAGTCATATGTATGGATTGATCTAGAAATGACGTAGTCAGGAGAAGTTC